ATAGGTACTGTTCGCAGAGTCCTCCGTTACGTAAGTTTTTGTTCAAAAGGTATAGTAATTGTAATGTAATGGAAGCCTTTGCCCGTTCAACTTCTGCGCTTTTGTTCCAATATCGTGATACAAGAGCGAATGGGGCATATACCGGCTTTTATTAACCTGTGCTTGGGCGGTGTATGCCTGTTAACTCAGTGTCTGCATGTCGCCCAAAAGACCTATAAGACATAATGACGTCACGCTTTGTTTACATGTGCGCTTTGCTATGGCCGGGAGCCAAAGTTGAATCGGATGTAGGATATGAATCTGATGAAATTAATACTACAGCAACAAAATTAATTAGAATGTGTTATTTACGCTCCCTATCAATGCTGTTATTTTAGGGTGTCTTAAAAACACATATTGCAAGTTCCGTCGATGGGAGCAGCTAAAAAAAAGTCATTTACGTGACATCTTTGGACGTGTTTGGACAATGTATTTCTCCCTTTTTATCCCCCTGGCTGTAAGCCGGAGGGAGATATTGCGATAGGGATGTGTTGCACGGTACCCTCTCCGGGATACATGTGAATTGAGGTGTGTTGATGTGTTGCAAATTGAAGTATTTTGTGTAGGCCTAAGGGATATTAAGTCAAATTTCTGCTCAGGAAATTCATTCTGGTTAAAATAGGAGCATTTTGAAAGTATACTTTTAAACTCGAAAACTTTAGTACACGACAACAAAGAAATGACTCCACACGGAAACAAATTCTCGAATGTATTCCTTCTGTGTGTATTTCTTTAGGTATGTATGTCTGTATATATGCTTGCGTTTGTTTATGGTGTAAATCGAGGACAAACACGTGCAACATCATCGGTGAATCGAGGACAGGAACCAAATCAAGGACCCCTCTGTTGGAAAACGTGTACAAAACCAATGAGAGCTGTTGCGAAAAAGTTAGTATACAAACAAAAAGGTAAAGGGAAGAGGAACAAAAGGAAATCATCGATTTCCACCATAAACAAACGTGGGTGTCTGCAGTTGTGTTATTTTTTGGTTAGATTAGCTCTTGTCAGCACGATAACTTGAGAAATGCTTTACTTAGGAACTTGAAATTTGGTTTGTGGGTTGTTCTTTGTAGTCTCAAGAAGCCTATTGCTTTTGGGGCCGACAGGTCAAAGGTTAAAGTCACTATTGCTAAAACAATAGAAATCTTCCATTTTGGTTAGGGACACTGACTTTATAAAAAAAAAGCTGCCAGCATGCCAGGGGATTGCGCAAGTCTCACTTGCAGTATTTGGGGACTTCCTTTGTTCTCGTGTACAAATTTTTTTTCCAACCCACCTTGGAAATTCCTAGTTTTTGAGTAAAATCCATATATCTATTTCGTGAAAAACTTGTGGGGTACCAAAACGGTACCCCGCATGTCGGTGGGCATTCCTTATGGGGTACCTCCCATTGTTCCGGTACTCCATAAGGCAGTGTTTATACGTTCACAATGGTTCACCATGGAAACGTTACTTGATACTTTCTTTTACTTTTAGGTGCAACGCACTTCTCCTGCCGTTGCGTAACTTTTTTGAACGCGAAGTCGCCAGTTCAGCTTCTCCGCTTTTGTTCCAACATCGCGATACAAAGAGCGAATGGGGCACACACCACTTTACCCGATCAACCTGTATTTAGATGGTATTCGGGTCTGTTGCATCGGAAGCGAGATACAGTATTGAAACTAAAACAGAAACGCCCCAGCATGTACACTCTTTCCAAGCCCCTTCTAAATTACCCAACAACCTACTGTTCATAAACTGGGCAGGGATGTGATAGGTTCATAGCTTCCGCAAGAGCTTATACAAAAAAATTGTACCAAAATATGATGAACTTTTTATGTCCTGAAACAAAAATTCCCCAGTTAATCACAGCTGTGTGTAGACCCTAAAGCACGAATCAATTACTTCCATCGCATAATTATAGGGAGTTAAAAAAACCCTCAAGATTTATAAAATGAAATAGGCCTGCATGCATTTGGAACTTGCTAAAATTTTACTTAATGAGAAAAAAAATCGGTTAAAACCAATTGGCTCTGTCATCAAGATGCCACAGGTGACTATGGACAATCATATGTAAAAACGTTGGGCAAAATGGATTGTAGACCAATGTTGGTCCAAACATTCAACAGGTTAAATTTACTCTTGTGCAAATTCTTCCCGAGAGTTGGGGGGGGGGGGGGCCAAAAGGAAATCACCAAATCCATTTCTTTCTTTAAAAACAAAAACAAACGCAGCCACAAAAGAAGAATAGTGTGAGAGAGGGGCGGTTCCTCCATCCAGTACAATCTTGTTTATAAGAGATACTAAAAGAAAAACATGCGGGCTTGTTAAAATTAAGAGTCTGTTTCAGTAGCCCAACTGGAAAAATGTTAAGGGCGAATTTCTTTTTGAAGAAAACCTTTTCGTTTTTACTGTACCTTATAGGCCTAAAGCCTCGACAATGAAAAAAATAATGAGATAAAGAAAAACAAAACGTTATGTGGTGTTGACCAAGCATTCAGGGGTCGCGATTGGTTACCAACTCCCATATAGGGCTCTTCCTGGGTCTCGGATTCCCCGGCCCACCACACCTCCTTCCCTGTCCATCCATGTAACCCCGGAGAGCCAAGCACCGTTAAGGGAGGAAACGAGGCGACACCCCATGCCTTGCTGCCGAGACAGCAAAAGAGCCCCGTACCTATGAGTAGATGCATTACCTGGACTTCGCAGACAGTCCCAGCCGGTGACTTAACTGATTGAGCTAAGGTCGGTTGGTATTTGACGACGGAAAATTAAGACTCTTGAAGTAAATGATTGAGCGCGTGTATTGAAAACAAAAACAATGCACCACGGTCCGTTTCGAACCCCGGACCCCGCGGTCTGTGGACGGTGACTCGTACCACTATGCTATTGTACATACAGTCTTCATACTCGGAGTCTTAATATAAAGTTGGAACCACTTAGAGGATTGTCAGCTCCAGTCTGCGCTTTGCCTTCATACATGCATTGCAAAAAAAAACCCATCTAAACTTCTTAACTCCGCAAGAAGGCGCTATCACGACCAACCAATATCGCCCACGGAATTGTCAAAACAACGTCTAGGGAATCCGCTGAAATCTCCCCCCCCCCCCAAAAATGGAGGAAACTAATGCGCATGCGACTACAGATAACAAAAGAGCTGCCCAGTGAAGTTGCACAGAGGTGCGCGCGCATTACACAACCAATACGAGTTTCCCTAGACGTTGTTAGTTCTGACAAGTCCGTGGGCGATATTGGTTAGTCGTGATAACACCCTTTCGCAGCGGCGGGTTGTCGCGGCCCCGGGTTATCAATCCCGGGACTTACCGTTATTTCGTTTTACCGTTTTGCATTTCCTCAAAACAAAAACAGTAAACAAACCATTGACCGTTTTGTCGTTTTACAGTTTTGTAAAACGGACAAACGGTATTAAGATAAATACGGTTTCTCTGTTTTATAAGTTTAATAAAATTCATTACAGCATAACGATCAATGATTTTTGTGTTACAGTTTTACACAAATAACTTTGAAAAACAGCAAAACGGTCAGTATTGAATACAGACTGATTTTTTTTTTAATTTCAGTGTCATAGTGAGCAGTCCGTGGTGCATTTTGTGGTGCTTGGGCAAGGGGGATGGAGGGGGACCATGCTTTACATGAAAAAGTGTTACCTCGGCATAATGCGTGGTGTGATTCCTGGCGTGACCCTGACCCCCTTCTCACGCGATTCAGTTGCAGATATTTGAAGGAAATTGGAGTTCGGCGCGGCTTTTCATTAGCCAGTTCGAAAACTATGTCGTGAGAACGAAATGTGAGGAGGGTAATTTGGGTCCCAGGCAATGACTCGATTCCATGAGGACGCATCAACATTCCTAGGTGCATTGCTTAATTGCCGAACCTAAATCAAAAATGACCGTTTTTCATTGTCATGTTCTTGTAAAACAACACTCTGAAATGAAGCAACTAACCGTTTATCGCTTTCAACAATCAAGAACAACAACAAAAAGGTCACTGTTTTTTGTGACCTAATACCGTTTGACCGTTTTACACAACTGTAAAACGACAAAACGGTCAATGGTTTAACTGTTTTTGTTTTGAGGAAATGCAAAACGGTAAAACGAAATAACGGTATGTCCCGGGATTGTTTACTATTTTTGTTTTTGAGGAAATCCAAAACGGTAAAACGAAATAACGGTATGTCCCGGGATTCATGTGGGTGTCATAATGGAAAAAACCTGGGCAAGCCCGTGTGGGCAAAATACGGGATGGCCCGTATTGGTGTCATAATACTGGGCAACTCCATGTAGGCAGAATACAGACTGACCCATATGGGGTAAATGGTAAAAACCGGGTGTGTGGGCAAAATACGGGCTGGCCCATGGGTGTCATTAGGGAAAAAGCTGGGCAAACCCATGTTCGCGCTGGCCTATAAGGGTATCACATGGGAAAACCGTGGGCAGAACCAAGTGGACAGAACACCGCCTGGCCCATTATGGGTGTCATAATGGGGAAAAGCGGCAATCCAATATGGGTTAAATACGGGTGGGCTCATGTGGGTGTCACATGGGAAAAACCTGGGCAGGCTTATGTGGGCAGAATATGGGCCGGCCCATATGGGTGTTACATGGGGAAAAGCTGTTCTAAGTTTGAACTTCCGGTCGAGCCGGAAGTAAATGTCGAAGGAGGTCATGTACAGTTTGCAAATGTTGATCTATGAATGTAGCATCGCATTGCAAAGTATGAACACGATTGGTGATATTGTTGAACAGTTATAAGAGAAATAATTGATCATATTTTGAACATCCGGTAGAGCCGGAAGTTAAGGTCAAACGAGGTTGTGCACACTGCCAAGTTGTTGTTCAGTGAATTGTCTATGGAATGGGAAAGTATTCACAAGATCGACGGTGTTTATAGTCAAGAGTTATAAGCTAAAGAAGTTGTTTAGAAAATGTCTTGTTGGTCATTAAGAGTTGGTATGCAAATAGTCATGAATATTTATACATAACTGAGCATGCTCACTTGCGAAACAAAGCTGTGGGAGGAGCTTGAAAATTTGCTAACTGTGATTTAGAAAATGGAAATTATTGGGCATATATATAGGAAGTGTGCACACAAAAGATGTAATTAGAAAGGACAGAGAGGGAGGGATGATTATGGTGGATGTGATTACGGATATAGGGGATGTGATTACGGGTATATTATGGTTGTAGATGATATTTGGGAGGATTAAGGGATTAATTAGGAGAAGTAAAGTTGGAAAGTTGGACGGAGCATTATGAGATGTATTAGCGAGGAATGTGACTAGGGAATGTAAGTGATTTAATGGAAATATAAGGTGATTTGGACATTATGGTGGGTGAGAATATAATAAGGTAAGATTCAGGATTAAGATTAGGATTAATATATTTTGGACAACCCACATTTTTATCCAGATGGGCCCCACAGCTAACCCATATGGGTTATCTGGGCTGGCCCATATGGGTCCCATAAGGATCTTGGGTGCAAAATTATCTGGGGCCCATGGTCCGCCCATATGGGACCCATATCTTGGCCCAGATGGGACCCATTAAAGCTTCCCCATATTTTACCAAGATGTTTGCCCAGACATAACCCATATGGGTTTATCTGGGCTGGCCCATATGGGTCCCATAAGAATCTTGGGTGCAAAATTATCTGGGGCCCATATGGTTCCTCCCATATGGGACCCATATCTTGGCCCCGATGGGGCCCATATGCCACCCATATGGGCTTGCTACCTGGGATAAGTTTAATTGATGGTAGCCGTAATAACAATTTCCAATTTACAGAGAATCCCATAAGAATACGTGTTCGTGTTTTCTGGTGTTCATTCCAGATGACCCAATTGAAGCATGGGAAAAAGTGGCACAGGAATGCACAAAAGCATTCAACAAGAGAGTGATGCCACGTTCGGCTAGAGAACGATGTCTGCGACAACTGTCGTTCTTTATTAAAGAGGACAAAATAAACTTGCAAAGTTAAAGATTGATAGTAACCGCACTGTTAAAAGGGGTGATTAAATTGCGTTTGCATATTTGGGTGATGGAATGTTTTATGGCAGATGACACAACATGTACTTGCATAGCAGGATGAAATATTCTAATCTTTAATTAATTTAAATTTCAAATCAAAGTTAATGACCTTATTAGATTTGTTGAATAATTCTTTTGGCTTTATGCAATTTTGAAAGAATTTTGTAGTTGAAATACTTTGATGCTTTGGTTGGCTAAATAACTGAAAGGACACCCACACACAAAATATGAAAGGTGTCAGAAAGTTTTGAAATCGTCCGTTTTATTTTAAAAAATAATGATCAATACATTTAAAATTTAAAATTCAATAAAAAGTAGCTCACCAGGGCAGTATTTATAAAATAAACTGATTTCAGATCAGGCACTGATGAACAATATGGAAAGAAGAAAGAACTTCTACAAGAGTTCAAAAGTCTGAAAGAGACTCGAGAGGATCAAAAGTTATTATTGTTATTTTTGAGTTCCATCCAAGAGGTTGCCAGTTTTGTTATTTTTGAGTTCCATCCAAGAGGTTGCCAGTTTTGTTATTTTTGAGTTCCATCCAAGAGGTTGTCAGTTTTGTTATTTATGAGTTCCATCCAAGAGGGTTGTCGGTTTTGTTATTTATGAGTTCCATCCAAGACGTTGTCAGTTTTGTTATTTATGAGTTCCATCCAAGAGGTTGGCAGTTTTGTTATTTTTGAGTTCCATCCAAGAGGTTGTCAGTTTTGTTATTTTTGAGTTCCATCCAAGAGGTTGTCAGTTTTGTTATTTTTGAGTTCCATCCAATAGGTTGTCAGTTTTGTTATTTTTGAGTTCCATCCAATAGGTTGTCAGTTTTGTTATTTTCGAGTTCCATCCAAGAGGTTGTCAGTTTTGTTATTTTCGAGTTCCATCCAAGAGGTTTTCAGTTTTGTTATTTTCGAGTTCCATCCAAGAGGTTTTCAGTTTTGTTATTTTTGAGTTCCATCCAAGAGGTTGTCGGTTTTGTTATTTTTGAGTTCCATCCCAGAGGTTGTCAGTTTTGTTATTTAAGAGTTCCATCCAAGAGGTTGTCGGTTTTGTTATTTATGAGTTCCATCCAAGAGGTTGCCAGTTTTGTTATTTTTGAGTTCCATCTAAGAGGTTGTCAGTTTTGTTATTTTTGAGTTCCATCCAAGAGGTTTTCAGTTTTGTTATTTTTGAGTTCCATCCCAGAGGTTGTCAGTTTTGTTATTTATGAGTTCCATCCAAGAGGTTGTCAGTTTTGTTATTTTTGAGTTCCATCCAAGAGGTTGTCAGTTTTGTTATTTTTGAGTTCCATCCCAGAGGTTGTCAGTTTTGTTATTTATGAGTTCCATCCAAGAGGTTGTCGGTTTTGTTATTTATATGTTCCATCCAAGAGGTTGCCAGTTTTGTTATTTTCGAGTTCCATCCAAGAGGTTTTCAGTTTTGTTATTTTTGAGTTCCATCCAAGAGGTTGTCGGTTTTGTTATTTTTGAGTTCCATCCCAGAGGTTGTCAGTTTTGTTATTTATGAGTTCCATCCAAGAGGTTGTCGGTTTTGTTATTTTTGAGTTCCATCCAAGAGGTTGTCAGTTTTGTTATTTTTGAGTTCCATCCAAGAGGTTGTCAGTTTTGTTATTTTTGAGTTCCATCCAAGAGGTTGTCAGTTTTGTTATTTTTGAGTTCCATCCAAGAGGTTGTCAGTTTTGTTATTTTTGAGTTCCATCCAAGAGGTTTTCAGTTTTGTTATTTTTGAGTTCCATCCAAGAGGTTTTCAGTTTTGTTATTTTTGCGTTTCATCTAAGAGGTTGCCAGTTTTGTTATTTTTTGAGTTCCATCCAAGAGGTTGCCAGTATTTGCTATTTTTGAGGTCTTTCCAAGAGGTTGTCGGTTTTGCTATTTTTGAGTTTGGCATCAATAGCTGAACACCCCACCACTGCTACCAAACCCTAATGCTGCATGTAAGAGGTTTTTGGGAGGTCATTTTGTGTGTTTATTCAACAATTAAATAAAGAGTTCAGACCAAGATTATGGTTCCAATTAAAATATTCTATATTTCTTTTTCGCAAGACAATTTGTATCCTGTCAAGTTTTGTGGCAAAACTTTTATCTTTGTATTTAATTTTTTTATTTGAAACAGCCACTGGTGATCAAGAAGGGACGACCAGCGAGGGAATTAAGAGTAAGTTTTTGTACACTGGAAGGCCTCAGGTTGATAACATGTTCCTTAATTTTAAATTTGTTGCAAAGAATACACGATAGCCTTTTACAAAATGTCAAACCACTGACCAATACATTCGTATTGTTACTAAGATAATTATAGCAGGGTTAAATGTCACAGATGTGTAAAGTAATACCTAAGTAAATATGAATACAAATCTCAATAAAGACACATTTTTACTTCATACGCATCTTTGACATAAAGCATGGAAAAAATAATGATAGTGGTTTATGTAGGCTACACTTGGTCTCAAATTGTTGTCAATTAACCTCAGCTACATCCCACCATATGAACATCAACTTTTTAGGAGAATGTTTAGTGGCCACTCAATGTATTTCATGAAGGTACATGGACTAGCATGCACTAGCATCACAAGGGATCTTTAAGACTGTGTTGTCAGTTTTGCAGAGGGCAATATTGTCCGGTGGCAAAAAGAGCAAACATGGAAGATAATAAAACATAGTATTTTTTAACAGCCAGTGTCTTGAAGTGAAACAATGTCCCATCAAATCAAGAAGAAGAAATAACATTGTTGCGTGTTGTTATTACATTTCAGAACAAAGGATCTCAAGTAGTAGCAAACAGCTTGCAATTATAGAGATTCTTAAGAAGAAACAGCAGGCGGAAGAAAGATTGAAGGAAAAGCAACTGCAACTGGAAGAGAGGAGGCTGGCTCTAGAGGAGCGGAACGGTGGCGCTATAGAGGAACAAAAAATGATGCAGCTAATGAGGCAAGGGAGAACAGGACGGGCAGAATACTAAATAGTGGCATGGTTAGCACATTTTACAATTCTAAACATCACTTATCGTCTTTTAAAGCTTATGTGCTGTTAAACTGTGTTTCTAAAAAACGAATCAGTTAGTATGTGTATTTAATTGATTGTGAACTGTTTTAATGAGGCAGCTTCCTTTCTTCCCGTTCTAGTTTATTACCCTTGGGCCTCCGCCTGTTGTTTCCTCTCAAGAATTGATCATTTTGCCCGATATTTCCTGTACAATCAAAAGCTGTTATATAGTGTCCCTCACGATCAGTGGCTTAGCCACGGGGGGGGGGGGGGGGGAATTATCATTGATCTACATGACACCCCCCCCCATGAAATGTTCCAGCGGCCCCCCCCCCCCCCCCCCCCACTGAAAAATTCCTGGCTACGCCACTGCTCACGATAAAAACAAAGTCAGGTATTAAATAAATTAAAGGGTCATTTTATAAAGTGTAATGTACATGTACATAGTAAACAGGGACAGCCAGGATGAACAGGAAAGTGAAAATATAATAAATGAAACTTTACCATTTTTAAAAAAAATTTACAACTCAACACTTGGTACTGACTGTAGGTCAGAGATCGAAGGAGAATGGATTATGTTACACCACCCAAAATTCCCAAGATGTGTCCCATCCGTTGTGGTGTTTGCAGTCTATAGCCCTCCAGACTCTCAGTATGAAGATCTTTTACGGCATCACATCATCTGTTCAGTGGACAGACTTTTGACTTGTAAACCATGTATTGGGATTGCTCTACTTGGTGACTTTAATAAAGTGGACATTAGACCTATTTGTAATGGTAACAGTCTTGTGCAAATTGTGAACAAACTGACCAGACAGGATGCTATCCTAGATCTTATTATTACCAACTTTTCGGATCAATATCAAAGTCCTACTGTATCCGCTCCTGTCGGTCGGGGTGGTCATAATTGCATCACACGGGTTCCCAAAAATGTACCAGCCTACAACAAAATAATGACTAAAGTTATAAGACCTATT